ATGCGGTGTGACGCTACATCACGTACCACGGGAGAAATTAGAGGTTGTGCTGCAATTGTGTACAAAGAATCAAAATGCCTTCTGCTGTCATATGTACCTGCCCGTGGCAAGCTTGGCAGTGGAAAAAAGGTCGCCAAAGATGTCCACGTCCTATTCTAGAACCTGGTAATGTGTTAGCCTACGTGGCCAAAGGGACTTTGAAGAGGCGACCAAATCAAGAATCTTTTTTTTTTTTTGGTACCAGGGTTGAAATCAGGCCCCTTTACCACCAAGCCACGTCCCCTGATCTTTTTATTTTTTGTTTTGAGACAGGGTCTCACTAAGGTGCTTAGGGCCTCTCTAAGTTGCTGAGGCTGGCCTCAAAGTTTTCACCAGCTTCCAATCGCACCGCCCTGTGGAGACCAGGACATTCAGACCACCCCAGTCATCCCCCTGCCTCAGGCTCCCAGACTGCTGGGATCACAGGGGGCACCACTGCACCCAACCCCATCAAGACGGGGAGATGATTCTAGATGCACCAGGGAGGCCTCCTGGGGTTTTAGGTTTCTGACAGTGAGATGGGAAGCAGGAGGGTGGTCAGAGAGGGAGCTGTGACTAAGGTCACTCTGGCTGGATGATGTCACCCCTGGCTTTGGAGATGGAAAGAAGCCACGGAGAAGCTGGAAAGGCAAGGAACAGCTTCTCCCCTTGATAACTCAGAAGGAACACAGCCCTGCAGTCACCTTGAGTTTTGCCCCTTGAGACCCATTTCAGACTTCTGACTTCCAGAACTGCTAGATAATAAATGTGTGCTGTGTTTCTTGGTAAATTTTTACAGCAGCAAGAGGAAGTTAAAACGGTGTGTATTTTATAATCATAAAAGAAAAAGCTGTTTGCTAGAAAGAAAAAAAAAGAGCTGTAGGTAATTGTATTAGTTAGTGATGTGTTACTATAACAAAACACCCGAGGCAGCTAACTTAGTAAGAAAGGAGGAATATTTAGCTCAGTTTTGGCGCTGCAAGGGCACAGTGTCTGAATCCGCTCAGTTGTGGTGGGGACCTCATGGTGATTGGTGGATGGCAATGTCAAGATAACGGGTCACCTCTCTAACAGGAAGCAGAGAGGCTGCATGCAGGGAGCTCCACCTTGTATAACTAGCCTCCTGTGAGAACTACCAAGGAGTCTTATGAGAAGGGCCTTACTTGGGCATGCTCCCCGGGACCTGAGGTCCTCTGACCAGGGTGCCACCTCCAAGGTTTTCACCAGCTTCTAGTAGCACCGTCCTGCAGAGAGAGATCAGGACTTCAGCCACCATGGACGTCTGAAGGACACACCGGCCAGTTAGCCTCATCCCTCCCTGGAGCTCTGCCGGCTGCCAGTGCAGACAGGAGCAGCCCGGATCCAAGGAAGAGCCTGGCCCAGGATCTTAGAAACCAAGGAGTGAAATTTCTAAAACATCTACTAAGTCGACAGCCGGAGAGTTTAAAGACCCTGAACTGAGAACTCTCGTTGTTTTTGAGACTTCTACACATTTCTTATTTGATTTCATTGTTTTAAAAAACTGTCAGTCACATAAAAACAGTTGTAAAAAATCAGTCACATCTGGACAGCCATGTTTTAAGAAAAGCCCTGGAGGGGACGTAAAGTTGATTTGATATCTGGGTCAGGGCGCCTTCCGGCCCCTTCTGGCCCATTCCAGGACGGGCTGGCCCCGCTGCCAACCGGCTGGGCCTCGTCATCTAGCAGATGACTCAGGGGACCCTGAGCCTCGGGCCTGTGCTCACCGTCCCCCTTAAAGACAGAGAACCTGGGACTCCCTCAGGGTGGGCCCCTTCTTGTCACTCAATGTCACCGCCTTGCAGAGGTGTCTCCTCTTGGTTTAAACTGGCCTCCACTCCTCCCTGAAGCGGCTCCCGGAGGCTCCCCCTGTCGGGTGGTTGTCTCCTTTATTTACTCCTATTATTCATTTGCTCCCTGTCTCTCCAGCCCCCAGCTCCCCAGGCCAGGTCCCTGGGTCTGCTGCAGGTGCAGTCGTGGGACGAGGAGGCTGAGACGGGACTGTCACCCTGGCCAGCTGTGCCTGGGGAACCTCAGGGTGGCTCTTCCGGGTGCCCCCTGTTCCCAGATGCAGCTCTGGGGCAGCAGGCCTGGGGTCTGAGGCTGAGGCCCAGGTTTGACTGCCCTTGTCCTGCCGTGGCCTGGGGGTGCCGTGTGGGAGAGCAGTCCTGGCTTGGCCTGGGGACGACCACCAAGGCGTGGGCGGTCCAGTGGTGTGACAGGTACCCTGGCCGAGTACGCACGTGCCCAGCCGCACTTCACGTACAGTTGGAAGCTTTGCGAGACCTTGTTCTCCCCACTTGGCAGATGAGCCGACTGAGGCTCAGAGAGAACCAGTGACCACCTGAGTTTCCCCAGAGCGCAGGAGGCCAGGCCCAGGTTCAGCTGCAGCCCAGCTGGCCCCACGGCCCGAGCCCCTGGCCCCCAGGAGCCGCTGGCATGAGCCACACACTGGGCCTCTCAGGGTGGGCCTCTTGCCCTGCTCAGGCCTCAGCTGGACCCGGAGCCCAAGGATGTCCTCTGTGGCTGTGGAGGACAAGGTGAGAGGCGGCCATGGCTGGGGGCCCCTAAGCAGGCCTCGGTTGAGCTGGTGTGGTGGGCAGGGAGGGGGGAGCCTCGGCCCAGCACACCCAGCCCCCCACAGCCCCCACCTTCTCCCCCACACCGAGGAGGGCGTGGACTCCCGTCCATGTCTCCAAACCACTGTGGGAGGAGGAGGGGACAGCAGCCTGCTAGGCAGGAGGGAAGAGGAGATCCCTGATGGCACAGCCCTGGCCAGTACTATGCTGGGTCTGGACTGGGCTCTGTTAAAATGTCCAGCGGCCCTGAGAGGCCCTTGTCCCTTGGAGGTGATGTGACCAGGTAGAACTGGATTCCAGCCAGATCTGTGCGACCCACAGCCCAGTGGTCACCAGAAACATTAGTGTCCTCGGGGGTCAGGGGCCAGATGGCAGAGGATGGGGGAGGGGGTTCGTGAGGCCTCGGCAGCCAGCTGTCCAGCTGGGACTCCTGGTCACCTCCCTGCCGCCAGCTCACTCAGGAGCTGTGTGACAGGCCTGGCCCTGAGCCCCCTGTGGTGGTCCTGGGGGTACTGTCCCCTGCCTGGCACTCCACAACCCTGCTGGCCACCTGCTGGCTCATGTCCCAGCCTAGAAGCAGGTGACCATCCCCATCTAAGCATGAGGCCCAAGAAGGACAGTGACTCAGGACAGCCCCCAGGGAGGCACAGAGCTGGAGCGGGTCCCCCAGGTCATGTCCTTGAGGAGGGGACCCCAGTCTGATCCCCAAAGACCGTCTGGGGGAGCCCATTGCTGTGTGAGGTGTTTTCAGGGTGTCCTTTCCTGGTCCCGCCTAGTGAGACCCAGGTGGGGGCAGCAGGATGAGTGACCAGGGTAGGAGGAAGGTTGGTGGCCGCAGAGGCAGCTCTGAAGAGTGACCTCCAGGGCCGGGCCTGGCTGCTGTGCAAGTGGGTGTGTGTGGAAGGTCCTGGGGCCACTGCAGCCTGTCCACCACCTGTCCCTCCTCTGACAGGACCTAAGCCAGGTCTGAGGGTTTGCCTGGAGAGTGTGGGTGCTTTTGAGGTAGGAAGAGGGACAGGGAGAGGAGCCAGAGAGAGGCCGGGAGGGGGCAAGGGAGGGGTGCAGGGAGTGGCACCAGCAGCCGCAGGGCGGCCATTCAGGTGCGGTGCCCAGGGAGCCACTTACAGCCTACAGCATGATTGGTGCTTGGCCAGGACAGGGTGTCCTGTGGGCAGATGCACGGGACCACCTAGGCTGATGTGTGACCATCTTGAGGACGCTGGGCCGAGGTGCTGGTGGGCGT